GGCTGTCAGGCGCTGGAAGGGGCTGCCCAGGGAAGGGGTCGAGTCCCCAGCCCTGGGGGGATTTAACAGCCGGGCAGATGTGGTGCTGAGGGCCAGGGTTTGGTGGTGGGATGGCAGGGGTAGGGGAACGGTTGGACTTTTCCAAAGGGCTTTTCCGAACCTAAACAATTCTATGATTCTATTCTATGATTACAATTCCTTTATTAGAGTCATAGAAGGGTTTGGGTTGGAAAGGACCTTTCAAGGTCATCTTGTCCAACCCCCCTGCAGGGAGCAGGGACATCTTCACCTGGATCATGTAGCTCAGAGCCCCATCCAACCTGACCTTGGATGTTTCCAGGGATGGGGCATCTACCACCTCTCTGGGCAACCTGAGTTTCACCACCCTCATCGTAAAAATTTTCTTCCTTAGATCCAGTCTGAATCTCCCCTCTTTTAGTTTAAAACCATCACCCCTTGTCCTGTTGCTACAGGTCCTCCTGAAATGTCTTTCCCCACCTTTATGGTTGGACTTGATGATCTTGAAGGTCTTTTCCAACCTAAAGGATTCTATGATTATCAGCCCCCTTTAATCATGGCAAGGCCACACTCAAGTCTCACGGAGACTTCTCCTCTCCAGGCTGAACCACCCCAACTCTCCCAGCCTCTCTCCATAGCAGAGCTGTCCCAGCCCTCAGACCATTTCCGTGGCCTCCTCTGGACCCGCTCCAACAGGTCCCTGTCTGTCCTGGGCTGGGGACCCCTGAGCTGGACGCAGGGCTCCAGGGGGGTCTCAGGCCAGCGGAGCAGAGGGGCAGAATCCCCACTCTCTCCCTGCTGGCCATTAGCCACGAGACCTTTCTCCAGGTTGTGCAGCCAACGCTGGCTTCAACCTTGGGCTTGCAGAGGTTTGCTGTGAGCTACTGGTGGTCCATGGGTGGCCCTAATGTCCCCTCCTGCCATCGGTACCATCAGACAATGATGCCACCGCTCTGGCTCTTTGCAAGTAACCTGGTTTTATAAAAATTAAGCCCTGATGCTCCTCTCCGGAGCAGTTTCATGAGGACCAAGCCCTTGGGGAAACGGGAACCGGGGCAGCAGTTTGTTTTGTGCATTCCCCATCCCCTCCGCCAAAACCAGGCAGCAATTCTCCGAGCTCGGTAGCCAGTGGCAACAGCCCGATGAAATGAATCGGCTGTCAACGCTAAGCACCAAGAAATGTAACTATTACAGTTTACAATTCTCTCTTTCTTTGCAGCACATGTTCATTTAAGGGTAATGCTCTCCGGGGTTTGCATTCTGCTGATAGGATAGCGGGATCTTAATTTACAGATACTCGCCGGTAATGCGCGGTTTATATACGTTCTGTTAATAGCATTATGAGCGTAGTTTGGACTAATACAAAATTAGAGCTCTAATTTGCATAAACAAATTACTGTTTGGATTAGCGCTAAATGGGGAAGACGACTGATAGTTGAGGAGATTTGATTCGGCTGCGACGGCTCTGTTTGTATAACGGCATCTGTACGGAAATGAGCTGGGTGGCTCCGTGCGGGTTGGGAGGGAGGTGGGATGGTGCAGGAGATGTCAGGTCATGAACTGGAAAGGGGTTTTGGTGACAGATGAGCTCTTCTGGGACATATTTGTCCCCAGGGTGTCACTTCAGAGCTTCCTGATCCTTCAGGGCAGCGCTAACTGGATCACAGCTCTCAAACCATCACTGTCCTGGCTGCTTCGCTGCTGGGTTTGTGGATGTAGAGGAGAGATGGGGAGGTTGGAGAAGGGTCCTCAATGCTCCCCGTTCAACCCCACTTGGGTCCCAGCATCCGCTCCAGGTGATAGATGGAGGATGACAGTGGTCTTGGGTGACTCCTCCCATAGAATCGTAGAATCACAGAATCGTTTGCGTTGGAAAAGCCCTTTAGGATCATCAAGCCCAACCGTTCCCCTACCCCTGCCATCCCACCACCAAACCCTGTCCCTAAGCACCGCGTCTGCCTGGCTTTTAAATCCCTCCAGGGACAGGGACTCCACCCCTTCCCTGGGCAGCCCCTTCCAATGCTTGGATGTAGCAAAACCCTTGCAAGAGCCAAATTTGGCAGCGGGGGGAAATAATAATATCAAAGTACCTAATAATAATAATAATAATAATGATACCAAAAATACCAAAGCTTGTAGAGCTTCGCAAAACCTGGCTAAGCTCAGAGGAGGTCCCACATTGCCCATTTCCTCATGGGATTGCACCCCCATTTCTGTCTCTGTTTGCTGCTGAGGTTGGAGCTGCAAGCCAAGGGTGCAAGATGGGGGCATCACCTGGATCCCATTTTGGATGCAGCGGGCCGCCAACATGAAGAAGCTGCACGCCAGCAGTGCGGATCGAAGCCCCGCCGTGTGCAAGGCATTGGGGTCGATGGCAAATACCTGCAGAGTTTAGGGAGAAACACCTCTGAAGTGTCCTAGGAGGCTATGGTTGGGTGGGGACCTGACCTTCAGCATGTGGTCTCTTCTCCTGCGGCATTGCCGTGGGCGAGCTGGGGGAATGAAATGACTTTTTATTGCAGGGGGGAAGCGGTACCAGGGGGAGAGTCCTTGAAGGGTTTTATTTTAGGTGTAAATCATGGGCAATAAGAGCTTCTCCTCTGTCTACAGCAAGACCATCCCTGGTTCTTCCCTGCATCACCTCCATCGTCAGGCAGCCGAGGGTTTGCTCACGAAGCAGCAGCTCCTTGCGATATCTTCCCTAGTTTGGGCTTATCGTGACTTCTATCGTTTTCTTGCAGATCCCCACTATTAAACCAAATGCGCCCGTCGCCTCAAGGTGGGAAATCCCAGCACGTGCAACAGAGATGGAGGAGCAAAGGCTATCGCTGCATCGGCGGGGTCATGTACCGAGTGTCGGCGAATAAACTCTCCAAGACATCCAGCACGCCCAGCCGGGGCAGAGACCTGAGCACCAAGAGCCCTGGTAGAGCAGGTGAGCAGCAAGAATTTGTCCTGGTCTGCATCCCAAATCTGTTGATGTCCCAGCTCTAGTGCTGAGGTTGGTTTTTAGCTGCTTATTCTCAGCCCATGTGTTGCAACTCATCTTCTGGCCCCGCAGGAGCCCAGTCGCAAAGGTGATGGGCACCCCATCCTTGCCAAAGTGCATCCCCCAGCTCTTCTTGCTTTACAGTAACAGTGAAGGGAAAATAATGTAGAAGAAAGGAAAGGTTTAAGAAAATTGAGGCTTTTCTTAACTCGGGCTTAGTTCAAGCTTGTCGAGACACGTCGTTAAACTTGTTTCTTTTTTTAACCTGAGCAAAGTCTTGGGCAGCTTCAAACGGCACCGCAAGGTTAAACGTTTTTGAATCATAGAATCATAGAAGTGTTTGGGTTGGAAAAGCCCTTTAAGCTCACCCAGTCCCACCGTTCCCCTAACCCTGCCATTCCACCACCAAACCCTGTCCCTAAGCACCTTGTCTGCCCAGTTTTTAAATCCCCCCAGGGATGGGGACTCGACCCCTTCCCTGGGCAGCCCATTTTGAGATGCGCATCAAATCACATTTAATATTGACCTGGGAAAGATGGGAGGATCGTTCTGCAGATAACTACGAAACAGGCGTTTCAGCGCAGTTACAGAATCACACAGAATGGCAAGGGTTGGAAGGGACCTCAGGAGATCACCCAGCCCAACCCCCCTGCCCAAGCAGGCTCACCCAGAGCAGGGGGCACAGGACAGCGTCCAGGTGGGGGTTGAAGATCTCCAGAGAAGGAGACTCCGCAGCCCCCCTGGGCAGCCTGGGCCAGGGCTCTGTCACCCTCAAAGTCAAGAAGTTCTTCCTCACGTTCAACTGGAACCTCTTCTGCTTCAGTTTGTGCCCATGGCCCCTTGTCCTGGCGCTGGGCACCACTGGGAAGAGTCTGGCTCTGTCCTCGTGACACCCACCCTTGAGATATTTGTAGGTGTTGATGAGATCCCCTCTCAGTCTTCTCACATTTAGCGTCAGTTAAATTTGTGTTTCAGCTCCTCTTGTACTTGATGCCTCAAGTGCAGCTCTTAGGCAAGACCAGGTTTTTAACTGTGCTTGAAGTATTTTTTTGAGTTTCTACGTGGGGTCAAATATTTTTGCTCCGTAACTGCTGTATTGACAAATTTTGGGGACGGTGAAGCTGGGAAAGACGACGCCAACGGCTTGGTGCTATTGTTTTTCTTTGCTGGAAGGAGGGAGGGTGCAGAGATGAGTATGTTTGTGGATGATGCTTATAAATGAGGCGACTTAAAGCCAAAGTCATTTCATGTACGGTGAGAAAGTGGCTGAAGAGAGGCAATAAATAGCGCCGTCTCGTCGAGAGGTGCAGCCTCTGAAACTGCCCACGCCCCAACTTCTGTGAGCGTTATGGGGCCTCCTGGGTAGTTTTAAACCCACAAAGAACAGGGATGAGGGAGGGAGGGAGCTTTGTGTGGGCACAAAAATCCCATCAACAGGTTTGCTGAGCAGCTTTGGGAAGTTCGAAAAGCGTGAGGAAAATGAGGAGCAAACAGCAGCATCTCAAGAAAGGGTAAAAAACTCCCCTTGATGCTTGCACGCAGCCGGAAAGGGGTGTTGGAGGGAAAATGGAGAGGGGAAAATGAGGGGCAGGCAGAAGAGGGACGGCCAGTAATGATAAATCCTTACTGCACATCATTGCTGATGGGGAGGGGAGCAGAGATTTAGCTTAAATGGAGGATTAGCTGCCTAGGCACCCAGCGATGGGAAATGTAGATGCCTACAGATGATGACAAAGATGAGGTTGCTGCGGTGGCCAAGGGGGCACGGAGCCAACGGAGCATCGCTTTCAGGTAATCTCCCTTCTGAGAGCATTAAAGGGATGCTCGGCCACAGTTTGGGGATGGTTTGCTGGTGGTTTTTCAGCTCAGCTCTGCTCAGGACAGATGTTTGGTGGCTGAGCAGCCTGCAGTGTCCTCCTCGCTGCTGGCTCTGCAAATGGGTACGTGCACGCTCGTGAGCGTCCGTCCGTATGGCGGCCTTCGACGTCTGCGATCCTACCTGCGAGCTGGTAAATCCTTGGCTTTGGTGCTGCGTCTGGAAGAGGATGGGCAAGGATCAGCCTTCGGAAATGCAGAAAAAAAGGGCATAAAGTGAGCCGAAGGGTCTGTAGACCAAGCAAATCCTGGTGTCAGTGGCGGCGGATTTTTTCAAGAGCTTTGCTAATGGCAATGGGATTTTCTGAAGCGTCCGAATCAGGGTAATCAGCTGCAAAAAACCAATTTGGGAGTGGTTCTGTCATAAGCACCATCCGCAGGCATTGAAGCTGTCACTGAAGGCAGCAAACATCTTGTTGGCATGCAAGAAAAAGGCTGAAACCCCCAAAATGTGGGCAGGGAAGGCGTTAAATGGAGCAGGTCTGGTTTGGGGGCCAGGTTTCAGGATAGAGTTGGATCACTGGGAAGGGTCCAGGGGAGAAGCGATGGCTGGAAGGACTGGAAAAGTGGAGGATCTGGGTTTGTGCAACCTGAAGAGGAGATGGAGGGGCTGCAGGTCCCCACCTTCATGAAGAGCTGCCAAGCAAATGAAGGATGTCTTCTCCATGGCCAGATGGAGCAGCCAAAACCCAATGGGCTTGAGGGAGAGCTTTTGAAGGATGAGGATTATGAAGTGCTGGAGTAAGTTGACTCTGAAATCTCCGTTATTGGGATTTTTTTAAAGAATAGGTTCCATGAACTTCTCTTTGAGGAGGACACAGGAGGGGTAGGTCCTGCCTTGCCACCAAGGAGATGGACTTGACTCAAGCTGCTGCCTAATTTCCAGTCAATGCATTGGTGGCTTTAATTTAGGTGCTGGGAGGTGGTGGGAGGACTTGATTGTCCACCACCGTGCTTAAATCACTATTTCTGCTGCTGTTTGGAGCACCAATGTTTCCAAGGCTGCTTTCCCCAAGCCCAGATCTTGCACACGCCATATTTAAAATGCTTGTTCCAGATTTTTTTTTTTTTTTTTTTTCATTTATCTAAGTGCAAGAAAGTCTCTGAATTTGTCTGGCCGCCGGGAAACAACAAAGTCATGCGTAGGCAATTCGGCGAAGGCTGATGGATTCCGCCTGTCCGTGAATATCCACCACTGGGCTGGGAGCAAGCGGAAAAACGCCAGCCCGGAGTGTAATTTTTGGGAGAAGCATTGAGCCAAAGGTTTTGACAGGAGGATTTTTGTAAATTCAGGCATTGACGCTGCTCTTGGGGTTTTGCTGGGGGGGGATTTTGGGTGTGGGGAAGGAAATGGCAATGATTTTCAAGGGATTTAGTTTGCAGAGGGGACCTAAAGCAGCTTTCAGAAGCAAAGGATCGGTAAAAGGCAGGGGGTGAGCCTGCACTAGGAAGCACTGGAGTTCTGAAAATGCTTCCCCCCCCGCCCTCCCTTTTTGATCTCGGTTTTAAAATAATGAGGCGTTCGCGGAGATGTGCATTGGGGTCAGCAGGTCAGACCTGCTGGCTGGTGGTGGGGATGGAGCTGCGCCCCATCGTGGCTTTATCGGGGGTGATGGGGCATGGAGGAGATGCGACCCCCCCCCCATCTTTCCTTCCCCACTGGTACCACATCCTTGAGTGAGGTCTCGTTTAGAGAAACAGGTTTAATTCGTCCTGCTTTGGGACAGCAGGTCCCTTCCAGGCTTAGTTTCTATAAAATACAAACCCATCCAGTGATTTTTTTTTAAGGATATTTCTTATTTTGTTGTCACCTCCTTCCCCCTGCCACACGGCCCGTGGGGTTTGTATCCATAAAGCCCTGGTAACTGGTGTGTGTCAGTATTTTCGTGGCATCTTTCAGCTCTCCCCATAATTCATCCTCCTTCCCAAGGATGGATTCAACAGCTACCGGCGTCTCTGCCTTTACGATAACTGGGGCTGGCAGGGCGGAAGATTTGTGTGCGCTCGTCGGGTACGAGCCTTCACACGTTTTACTCAACGCCCTGCGTTTTCAACACTTGATAAAGTTTATTTTAAAAGAGGAAAAAAAACAGCTTTAAGATGGGATGCCCTCCTGACAGTTTAATAGCTCGGAGTTTACTTGCGGTGGGTTAGAATTCTGCTCTTTGCCTGGATTTATTGGGTTGATATTTTGTCTCTTCGGCGCCCGACTACAATAAGAAATGCGATGCTGGTTGCTGCGACTGATCCGTCAGTGCTGTGGAATCCT